GAAGTCAAGAATGGAAACGCTGAGAGAGGAAAGGAGGGTGCAGCCTCACCTCCAGCCCCTTTCCTGACTCTCGCTGCTTTGCCCCCCCCCCCCCCACCATGGGCCCGGAGGTTGGGCTGGGGGAGACACTCGGGAGACTGAGAAGGAAAAGGCCTCTACTTACAGCCGGCGGAAGGCACTCACTTGCGCGAGCCACTGCCGGGTTGGGGTCCGGGCCGCCTCACTGGCAGCAAACTGAAGTTCAAAGGCAGCACCCACGTCCCCAGACCCACAGCGGTGGCCCCCCGCGGTCCACCCGGGTTCTGACCTTCATCCCTCGCCTTGCCCTTCCCGTATGACTCACCTACTCGCCTGTCCCATCCTTTCACTGCGCCCATCCGTTCACTTCCGTAACCCCAACCAAACCCAATCTCCAGGCCACCCCGCGCCCAGAGACCCAGAACACATTTCCCGACTCTGCATGCCAGGCTCCCACGACTCACCAAAAGCCCAAAATACAGCGTGGCCCGGCTGGGAGGTACACCAGCAGCCACACGGCCGGCCCCTCTTTGTTCGAGAAGAGGCCGCTGAGGCCTGGAGAGGGGAGGGGCTCCGAGTCCCAGCGCAGGTCGGCCATGTTGCTCTGGGCACGACATTAGAATCAGCTGTGGTTGAAGGAAGCCGAAACCCCAAAATAACCGAGGCTCAGTTCAGACGGACACTTTTCTATTTACAGACATTTGGAAAACGCCTGTCCGAGTGAGGGGCCGACACCCAGGGGAGAGCGGGAGAGGGTGGCCTCCGTTCCCAGGGCCCCTCACGGCCCAAGATGGCTGCCGGGCCGCTGCCGCGTGCGTGCTTCTCTGTCAGCAGAAAGGTATGGAAGCAGCCCCGGCGCTTCCCAGAAGAAGCTCTGCCACACGCACCTCTAGCCCTTTGCCATATGGCCATGGCCAAATGCAGAGAAGGCAGGAAAATGTGGAAATGTAGCGTTTATTGTAGTAGCCACGTGCCTACCCAAAAAGCAGTGTTATCATTACTGTTCCTCTCTTGCTGTGGAATAACATGAGCAGAATAAATGTAGAACGTGCCCCTGGATTTCTCCTTACATTCAGAACTGTAACACACAGTGCTTTCTGCATCACGGAAAATTCCCTGGGACCAGAATGTTCTTTAATAATACAAGTGAGGAGCCTCGCTGGTGGCGCAAGGGCTTAAGCACTATGAAGCTGTCTGCAGCCACTGCAGCACAAGTTCAATCCCTAGCGAGGGAGCTGACCCACATGGGACAGCAGACCTCTCCGGTCTGCCCCCTGCTCCCCTCAACGGTGGATATCAGTGGATCTGCCCGTTCTGCTCCCCAAGCTGCCTCTGGTGACTCCTCTTGCCACCTCTGGCCTGTACCCCAGCTCTTGTACTCATAAATAAATAAAAATAAATCTCTAAAACGCCAGGAAGTAAACAGAGATCGAGGGGCCACCGACCACTGATGGCCTACGAAATCACCAGGTCATCATTCCCAGGAACGCTCCACCTTGCTGGGTGCAAATGGCCCCTTCTTTAAGGCTGAGCTTGATGCAGTCTGACTCGCCCTGGACGACCAATGAGTGTTTGCTGTTTGACTGAACAAGCAAAACTGACTTCTGGAATATATATTGTTTTCCCTGGTAAGGTGGAAGTTGGAGGTCAAAGACCCGTCCCAGCCCCAGACTTACAGCCCCAGGCACAAGCGAAGGGTCAAGTCGGCTCTGGCTCGGCTCAGTCTGCACCCTGTCTGCACCCTGTCTGCACCCAGGCTTGCAGAGGGCCTGCTGGTTGCTGGTGTGGGGCAAGGCCTCCTGAGAAGCCCAAAAAGACCGTCCCCTCTGGATTCGGCTGAGCAAAATTGACCATTTTTCTGGAGAAGAAGTTTAAAAGGATAAAGATGGTAGCGAATAAGGAAATTCGTAAGTGCCCATTAATATAGAAATGGTCGATTCATTCCTCTTGGTTAACGTGAATGGGTCAAGTAGATGGAGCATATATTATATACACAATGGAAAACTGCTCAGCGATCAAGAAAGACAAACTCACACATTTATGGCAACATGATGGAGCTGAACAGATAGATGCCACGCGAGATAAGTCAGAGGGGAAAGATAAACACAGGCTGGTAGCAGCAATATTTTTGATTGAGCCCCGTCACCCACCCTGAGATTGCCACTCTATCAGCTCCTGCACCCAGCTCGTGGGACAGGGTGGGGGACAGGTGTGGACAGTGTCCAGTTCCCACACCCTAGTGTTTGCTCAGGGAGAGGCAGGAATATCCAGGAGGATTGCCTTCCTCCCTGCCTTCTTCCTTCCCATCCAGCTTGGGATGGGCTGGGACAGAAAACCCGAACCCAGGGCCAGAGACGACAAACCGTGAAAGCTGACCATAGACATGAGGCATCCAGGAGGGGAGTTGGGGAGCAAAAGTGGGGGTGGGGCGGGAAGCACAAGGATCATAGTGATGAACTATGGATGCCTTGGTTGGGGGAGAACTACAGTGACTATACCTGATGGGAGAAATCACATATTGTCCAAAAAATAACGATATTAAAAAAAACTATAAAGTTTTTATTTTTAATTTAATTTAAAAAATTTAAATTGTAACAAAACATTAAAACATAAAGAAATATATATGCATGCACATACATCAGTGGTGGCAGCTGGTGGAATGGGCTAATTTTGCAGTTTGGGCCTCCCTTCGGGCACAAGGGATTAAGCGCAGCACTGTGAACCTGTCTGCAGCCGCTGCAGCATGAGTTTGATCCCCAGCCAGGGTGGGGAACCACAGGGTGCAGCAGGCCGCTCCTGTCTCTGCGCTGCTCCCCTCAGCAGCAAACAATCTGCCTGTTCTGCTCCCTACTCTGTCTCTGGTGAATCCTCTCTCTCTTTCTCTCTCTCTCTCTCTCTCTCTCTCACTCACGTCTCTCCCAAGTATCCATGTCTCTCCTCCATGAGTCTCCCTCAAAATGCCAAGTCCCTGGATACAAGTGAGAGCCAGGGAAGAGCCCACAGCCCACCCGCCTTCCGTGCTCTCTCTTCACCTGGCTGCTCAGCCCCGCCCTGGGCTCAGGTGGCCTTGTGTAGGTGGGGCAGGAACATGTGAGGCAGGGGCCCTTTTGCAATTAAGAATCATATAAAGATCTTTACTCCCTATTCAAAAACAAAACAAGGTTAAATGCCTTGCGCTGGCTCACACACCTGTGTGCAATGCAGCCTCGGGGCAAGGCCCTGGCATCGTGTGGGGGGCGGGGCGCGGGGGGCTTTGTCTGCCTCCCAGCCTCACGGGGTTGGAATGTCACAAAGCAGATGATGGGCCATCAAACAGGTGGCTCAGAAACCAAACTCCCATCTAAATGGTTCCTCACTTACAGGAGAGTGGCCCCAGCTGTTAATATTTGTCTAAATGCAGAACCATAAAAGGCTGAATCTCCTAAAGCTGATTGCCTGTGATGGGCGCAAAGGCAAACACCGGGAAGGCAAACACCTGGAGGAGGCCGGGGCAATCCTCTGGGAGCCTCCTGCCTTTCCCTGAGCAAACACCCCGGGCGTGGACACTTGGGCCTGCCCGTGTGGCCCCGGGTTGCTGGGGGAGGATCTGATAAGAGAGTGGCACCTTCAGGGAGCGGCTGATGGGGCCCAACTGAGAATACTGACTTGGAGCCTCAATAAGCAAGAAGCCCCACCAGGCTCTAGCACCCCTCCCAGGTCCTGGGAACCCTCCACCTGTGAACAGCAGGTGGGAGGTGGTTTCAGGTTGTGATAAAAAGGAATTTCTTACTGTGAACCACTGCCCAGAGCCTCTGCTCTAGAAAATGGCGCTGTTAGCTTTATCGTGAAAAAGTGAAGCTCTTTATTGAGACGGAATCCTGACCAGAGGGACATGGGTGGGGGCGGGGAGAGGTTGCCTGGGCAGCCTGGAAGCAGCTCCGGGGTGGAGGGTTGCTGGGGAGGTAGTGAGGGGTGACTGGGGTGAGGACCTGGGGGCCGGGGAACCAAGGACCAGTGGCGAGGGACCCTGGGAGAGCCCAGCAGGCCATGGCCTGACCCTCCTGTACCAGGCGTCCCCACAACTGTCCCCTCTGCATGTGTGATCTCCCTTAGTGTTTCAGAAAGTCTGAAGACGCCCCGTCAGCCATGATACGTAAGGCTTTGCCCACACTCAGTGCCCTGGAAGAGCCAGCGGGCGCCCTCAGCCCTAGAGATGGTGTCTCGCCAAACATGGGCAGGCCCCTCTGCACACTTCAGAGCTGCACAGACACCCTCCATATGCAAACACGCACGCACACACCCTTCTCACACCCTTCACACTGCATTAAAGGGTAGAAAAAGGCCATGAGGTGCGATGGGGGAGGGGTGAGACTGTGTGGACCCCGGGAGAGTTCCAAAGCCCATGCTATCTGGGCGTCTAGAAATTAGTGTGTGGCACACTCCAATTCCTGAGAATGAACTTGGGCCTCGGAAGAAATAGGAAAGCCAGGATTCCTCAGCCCCTGTTGCAAAGGAATGAAGGTGGGAAAGACGCCCCAGGCCACAGGACACACCTGACCGACTGAGCAGGAACACAGGCTTGAGGAGGGGGCGTCCCTGGTTCAAATCCCAGATGGGCCACTTTCTAGCTAGGTCAGTCACTTGGTCTGCCCACGCCTGGCAGGCCTTAGCTGCCATCAGTCTTGATGCCAACTTCCTGTGAGGCCTACGGGCTCCACGGCCTCCCGACAAACCACCTGAAGTCTGCTCTGCTTACCTCTGGGGGTTATTGCCCAGCTAGAACGAAACAGGATATTTGAGGGCTCATTAACCAGTATCCATCAGCTCTCAGCAAAGAAGGCTCTGGGAACAGCCTAGAAGGGGCCAGACCCTTCTCCCCAGTGCCCCTACTTCCCAGGCACCCCCCCCCCCGCTTTGCTCCGATTCCAGGAAGAAGCCTCCTGAACACCACTCCCCCACCTTGAGCAAAGGTGCACACAGCCAGGTAGGTAGACAGAGCCAGCTGAAATTTTATTTTGGAAAAAAAAACTGACAATGAGTTTTAGTTGGGGGCACAGGCAAGAGGGGGGACCCCAGACTTCCCAAGGTGAGCCAGCAGCTCTCCTGTCCTCAAAACTCCCTCAGCTCAGTGCCAGGGCAGCTCCAAGGGAGCGGGCTGGGGGGGGTGGGAGGGGTGAGGAGTGGCTGGAAGGGCCTCAGCGGTTGCTCACTGGGACAGGACATGGATGGCTCGGGCAAGTGCCCACCGCAGGTCTCGGTCTTCTTCACAACCACAGTCTGGGAGGAGCCGGCACGGCTGAGGTCGCTGAAGCCAATGAGTTGGGCTGGGAGGAGCTAGAAGGGGCCAGGGCTTGGGAGGGCCCCAAAGGGCGAGTTCAGCCCACCTGGTCAAGACAGAGCAGCCACTTGAGCAACGGAACCCATGCACACATCAGGCCCAGGCCCCGTCTCCCGGCCACTCCCTGCGGGGCCTGCTCCCTTCACTGCTCCACGGTGGTCAAAGAACCCCAGGTACAGGGTGGGACAAAGTGTTACTATCAGCAACGAGGACCAGATGCGCCAGTGGGCGCCCATTTCCCCAGCTACGTGAGAGGGAAGTGATAGGAGCTGCGTCACTACGTCACTACGACCCTGCCCCTGGACCCCTGGCCTCCCCCCACCCCGCCCCAGCCCCGCCCCTGTGGCCCTGCCCAGCACTCCAGGCCAGGACACTCACCCGGGAAGCCGGGGGTCTTGGCATGGATTCTCAGCTTCTGCATCCCAGACTCCAGCCTGTGCCCAGAGCAAACAATGCAACATCAGGACCAACTCCTGGCCCAGGCCCCGGCCCCAAGATAAGAGGACTCAAGTGCCTCCCCGCCCAGGCTGCAGGAATAGGGCCCAGGGCCCGCACCCACCGGCTCTCCTCGCCCTCCAGCAGCTTCCTGTAGGTGGCGATCTCGATGTCCAGGCCGAGCTTCACGTTCATGAGCTCCTGGTACTCCCGCAGCTGCCGCGCCATGTCCTGCTTGGCCTGGGTCAGAGCAGCCTCCAGCTCGGCCAGCTTGGCCTGGGCGTCCTGGACAGCTCTCTCCCCGGTCTGCTCAGCCTCCTTGATGGCAACCTCCAGGGACGCTCTCTGTCGGCGGAGGGAAGTGAACAAGCTGCCAGCGCAGAGTCTGGGTGCCTTCTCCCCCTGCACCCACCCCGCCTTTAGGGACCCCCTCCCTGGCCTAGCCAGTTCCACCCAGCTCAAAGTCCTGGTGAGGTTGAGAGCAGGAGCTCACACAAGCGTCTCATCCGGGACACTCATCAGACCAGACCTTTGCTTTCTAGATCTCCTTAAAGGGTCCGGCCCCAACTGGCCCTAATGTACGGCAGGTACAATAACGCAAGCTGGGGAGACCCGCCCTGGGCCCCCACCTCCTTGCCCCCGGGACCTGTCTCACGGCTCCAGAGGCCTCCTCAGCACCCCTCAACTCCCAGGAGTCTGAGAAGCTGGGCAGCAGCTGCCCCTCCAGCCCCCACTCTGGTCCAGATTTCTTCCCTGGCCCTCAGACCCGCGCCCGACCCTCCACTGTCACCTCAACCCCGAGAGTGCCTGGGGGCGTCTCCCATCCCAGGGCGGCCCATACCTGGCTTTTATAGCCTTCAATCTCACTCTGGATCTTGGTGATTCTCCTGCTCGTGTCAGTTATCTCGGACTTGGTGACACGGAGGCTGTCCCCATGCTTCCCAGCCTGGACCTGCAGCTCTTCGTACTGCAGGGTGACATGAGGCGCGAGGCTTGAGCAGAGACCCCCGAGCCCCAGCGCCCGCCACCAGAGAGGCGTGTCCCCAGAGCCGGGTCACCAGCGCCCACCACACTCCACTGAAGTTCCTTCCAGACATGCGCGTCTCCCCACACTCGCTGGGCAGACCAGAGTCTGGGGCGCCGCTCCCCACACGGACTAGCGCACAGCACTGGCCAGAAAGAGGAGGGGACAGTGTCAGGACGCTGCTCTTCACCTTTCTCTTGTACGCGAGCTCGGCCTCGGCCCTGCTGTGGTTGGCGATCTCCTCGTACTGGGCCTTGACCTCGGCGATGATGCCGTCCAGGTCCAGGGAGCGGTTGTTGTCCATGGACAGGACCACGGAGGTCTCCGAGATCTGGGACTGCAGCTCACGGATCTCCTGTGGGGGGCGGGGAGGTGGTGAGGCCCTGTCTCTGCACACAAGGAGCCCCCTTTTACAAAAGTCTTCCTCAGGGGACAGGATGGCAGGCAAACAGTGGGAAGGACCAGGGGCGGTCGGCCCTGGGAGGGAAGCGACGTTCCCAGAGCAGGCGCACGGGCCAGAGGCCTGGAGCGAGGTGGCGCGTGACCGCCAAACGAAGCAGGGATGAAAGGGGACATGGGTCTGACAAACCCTTCCAAGCTCAGCCGCCAGTACTGAGGCCACAGAGGCCCCCCGGGGCCCAAAAATGGAAACAAAGGCTCTGGGGCCAAAGGGGCCTTGCGATGAAGCTGGGCCAGCACTGTGTCCAGCGACCGTGGACAGCGTTTGTCATCTGTGAAATGGAAGGAAAACATCCCTCCTGAAGGCAGCAGCACATCCGAACATCCGCCGGAGTCAGGCCGCAGCACCGATTCAGCTACCAGCAGGCTCTGGGCAGCTGGGGGGCGGGGGGGGGGGCTGGAGGGCGGGGCATCCTCACGCTTCAGCCCCTGGAACTCACCTCTTCATACAGCTGCCTGAAGAAGTTGATCTCGTCAGTCAGTCCTTCCAGGCGGGACTCCAGCTCTACCTTGTTCATGTAAGCTTCATCCACATCCTAGGAGCGGAGGGCGGGGAGTCTGAGCTGGGCGCCCACGCCCACCCCAACCCACCCTAAGTCCACCCGGAGTCCCAGAGCCTTCCGACTCCTCACTTTCCCTACCTCCCTTTGGGGTCTGAGCCTCCTATCCAGCTTCCACCCGATACACCTCTACCCCAAGCCAAACACCTTTGCCCGGTTACCTGCAGCACACTCCCCCGCTTCCTCTCCTCCTCCAGGAAGACTTCCAAGACCAGACCTCCCACTGCACTGCCCCATGCCTTAACCAACTGCCAGCACGAGCGCCGGCAGCCTGCCAGGCACCTAACGACCTCTCTGCCCTGGTCAGTCTCCTGTGCCCTCTGCAGGAGGCCCCCACATTACTTAGACACATTTAGGGACATAGCCCAGAAAGCCTTCGTCTGGTCTCTAAGGCGCAGCCCCAGTGGGCAGGGGTAGGAATGCTCTGTACCTTCTTGATGAGGACAAATTCATTCTCCTTATCTGTGCGCCTGTTGATCTCCTCCTCATACCTGGCGAAGAAAAGACGTGAAATCAGAGGATGATGGCAAAGGCGAAGCTGCCCTGGTATTTCGGGGGAGGGGGACAAGAATGTCTAGAAAGGTTAGACATGGAGTTATTCAACCAGTTACTGTGTCCCCCACTCTATCCCATGTCACGTCAGGGATAACGGAGGCCAGGGCTGCAGGAGCACCCCGAAGCCTGTGCTCCACCTTCCCCGGCCTCCCGTCTTAAGTTTCCTGCAGAAACATTAACAGATAGTTTATTGTCCCTATCTGGACAGTTCTGAACTTGAAAGGGGGTGGATGCCGGACACAGGGCATAAACCTAGGCCCTCCTGTGGAAAGCTGGCCAGCGGCCTCCTAACTATGTAGAATGCACTGCCAACAGGCATCAGGCCCTGGGCTCTCAGGTTTTTGGTCCCAAGGTGGGGGGCAGGGCAGGATGACCTGACTGAGCCGGGGGTGGGGGTGGGGGGACAGAGGGCAGGGGTGCTCACTTAGTCTTGAAGCTCTCCACCAGCTCCTGCATGTTGCCCAATTCCACCTCCAGCTTTGCCTTCTCCTGGCCCAGTAAGTCCAGCTGCCGCTGAAGGCTGCTGATATAGTTCTCAAATATTCTGTCCATGTTGCTACGAGATGTCTTCTGCTGCTGCAGGAGACTCCATTTGGTCTCCAGCATCTTGTTCTGCTGCTCCAGTTTCCGCACCTACGTGAGGGGGGAGCGAATGCAAGGGTCCACTCAGCTCAGAGCTCAGAATGACGAGGGAAAGCCCTGTCTTCCCTGAACCCACTCCCCAGCAAGTGGGGTCTCCAGAACCAGGGCCTGGTGAGCTGTTGTGGGGGGCATCACCTATGACCTGAGAGAGATGCCACAGTGAGTGGTTAGAGAACCATGGCCCTCTACGCGGGGGGGGGGGGGGGGGGGGGGGGGGGGGGGGGGGGGGGGGGGGGGGGGGGGCCCGGGGGGGAGTGGAGGGGGGGTCCATGGAGGTGCACAGTTAGAAGGGGACAGCTGGGAGAGGTATGTCTGCTAAACAGATAGGTCCCATTTATTTAGAAAGTATACTGCAGAGTAATAAAAAATTAGGGTTAGATCAACACTTTCTATAAGGCTGAAAAAGAAAATGGAGGTTGTCAGATCATTTGCGTCAAATCATCTCGTCGCGATTGGGAAAGGCTTGAGAGACAAGCGGCAGACTCACTCTTGAGCTGTCTGGCCTGAAGAGCATGGCCAGTTGACCCAGATTTCAACCAAGCACCATTACTAACAGGGAGTTGCTCCCCCTCTCTGAGTCTGGGTCTCCTCAAGCCTGAAAAGCACTAGGGAAGCGTGGACAGGCCTTTTCAGGAGCCCCCTCGCTGTGCACAAGTCCCTGGCAGCAGGGAAGAGCCTGCAGAATGATGCGTTCTGCTCCCAGGACCTCACCTGTGGGTCCACAGCCCTGTCCTCCTCCTAAGACACAGACGTACGGGTCCCTTAAGCTCAAGAAGCCCAGCTGTCAGGCTGAAGTGAAGACTCATCAAAAAGCGGATTTCCAGAAAGACTGACATTCTGGTTCCAGAATCTTTAACCACAGAGTTGTGACTTTTTTTAAAGGGGGGGGAGTTGGAAGATTGTCGTGAGGGTCCAGTCTAAGACCCCTTTCTTCCTCGAGTCTTTCTACCCAAAATTATCTTAACAAACAAGGGGTAACAACATGTGCGCTAATGAACTGCTGAACAGGGGCCAGGCACTGCTCAACTCTTCAGGACAGTCAGACTCTTCAACAGGCAAAACGTCTGACTTAGAAATACAGGTAGGGACACAGACTGAGCAGCCCTGGGGGGAAGCAGCAGATGGCTCAGAGCCAGCCCAGGTGAGGACCCGCTGTAGCAAACACCAGCCCACTAGTCACGTTGAAGGTGCCTCTAAGTGAGCACCCAGCGAGTCCTCCCCAAACTGGGGAGTGTAGGGGCTGGGGGCCTGCGGGACTGGGGTGGGGGGTATTGCTCTCCTGGGGACTCCGATTCCTAAGGGCGCTAGTCTGCTCCAGGATTTCCCTCCCGCCTCTCTCGCACAAGTCCTCCCGGGGCCAGTCGGCTGGGAGGGGCCAATCCCCAATCTTCCTGGGCCCCTGGCCCAAGGCTGCTGGCCCCCAGGCTGTAAAACCTGGTGGGGCACTCTCTCTGGCAAAGTGGAGGCTGGCAGGTGGGGTGGTGCCCTGGGAGGGAATGGGACAGGGCAATGGCAGACAGACAGGTTATCTAGAGCTATAAACCTTGGGCCTTATCAGGACCGAAGCCCGGCCCAGGTTTGACACCACACACCTCAGCAGACTTTGAATCTTCCTCAGGCTTTCCTGACGCCCAGGGAGTCCCTCCCACCCCACCTCACCGGACCCCACCCCAACACACACCCCCAGCCCCAACTGCAGAGAGCTGGCAGGTCTGGGGGCTCGGCCTCAGCTCTTCAGCCCCTCACCCCACATTGCGGCTCCGGCTCTGGGCAGAGGCCAAGTTATGACTCATCTCCAAGTCCCACACTCAGGCCCTGCGACCAGAGGCCTCAATCAATATTTGCCTGTTTGAATCAAGGCACCCACTTCTCCAGAGTCTTATCAACCCCCCCCCCCATTTAAAACAAAAAATAGTGCAGGGGCTGATGAGGTCTGGGGGCAGCGCAGGGGGAGAAGGGAGGGCCTGGAGGAAGCTGAACCCCTCCCCCACCCCCACCCTCCACCCTTCCACCCCAGCAAAGCTGAACAGCAGGGAACACTCTAGACCCCAAGCTGTGCGGGGAGAGGAAGGAAGGCTGGGGTGAGACCAGAGGGAGGGAGGGAGCCCCAAGAAGGCTGGGGTGAGACCAGAGGGAGAGAGGGAGCCCCAAGAAGGCTGGGGTGAGACCAGAAGGAGGGAGGGAGCCC